CACATTCGTAGTTTGCTAGATTTGAGGAAGTATAAAATTACACAATGAAACATGAATAAAAACGAGATCACGTTAGTCCCCTGAAGGGATTCCCAGACTTCTTCCACCTTCGTCGATGAAGAATATATCTAGGCAACATTATCCTAGATTCATTGCATTATTACGAAATTACAACAATAAATAAAATCAGGCGTAAGAGCAATCGGGCATGAAGATGGCAATGCAGCGATACACCACTTGGATATCAAGCGAGACCGTACCGCGATCAGTTTTGAGACCACTTTGGTCAATGCTCCGGCTCCGGGGAAATGATCGCCACGCAAAGACGATCGCGCTAGTTTAACAATTTCACCGTGCAAGCCTACAATATAATATGATCCCGCATGCTCATGTATGGAGAGGAGACTTGACCACTGCGCTAAACCAGCTCGATACCCAAGTACCGAGAGAAACTGTACACCGTGGAACGAGCGGCGATGGGATAACAATTGGATTATGCAATAAAATCGCTCGCGACTTGCGCCCGCCATGCATAACGGTATTTTGGTCATAAATTTTCTGACCGATTGCAATTTGAATCAAATAAGTAATATATCACTGAAAGGAGCATATTAGGTGTGTTTATTCTGTTTTTGGTGAAGTACAGAATCCGAATTTTATCCCAATGTCTCGATCAGAAACTGGAAATATTTTATTAATTGCCTGCATTGCATAATTTTAGTCTTGAGTGAAGAAAATACTTAAGTTATTAGTGAAATTTATCGGACTTGCTTGTGAGTTGCTTGTTTTGATTTGCCTTGACGACGTAATACGATTAGAGGAATGCAATGAAACGAAAAGATCGTGAAACGAGCCGGTAAGCAGGTTGGGCTATATTTAGACATTTCCTCGGTAGTAGACTTGTCACTAAATCGCCTTAAACATGCTCCATTTTTAATTACACATTTAGGTCCAGCATGTAATTAAGCATACATAGTGTCACCAATATTGAAAGGTAGTTATACTTCAATTTAATAACAGGTGTTTAAAATTTTTGATAAATTTGCTGTATGCGCGAAAAGTTATAGTTTTAATGGGTTTCTATTATAATTCTTACAACACTTTGTATAATAAATACCCGTACGTAATAAACGTGTTTATTGCGAGCGGGTGTCTACCTCATCATCTGCCTTCCACTAGCTGCTGGTCTTAGGCTACTTCTTTGAATATCTCGGATGCTCCACGAAACCCACTAAGCTCACTTCTTTCTACTAGAAGATGCTGCGAGTTGTAGTTAGCGCGTAATGCAGATCCACTCACTCTGCGCCTCGCCTATTCGTGGCATGGTAATTTTGCGCCAAACGGCCGTCAGACATAAAAATTAAAACGCGGTTGTTACTCGCTGTTCATAGGCTCAATAGCAAGATAGCCACATTTCAGAAACCTGAATTTATTGAATTCTCATGGGATTAATTAAGTCATTTAGTTGAAAAAGGAACTGAACAAAATTTTAAAATAAAATTTGCTGTTTATTTGAGTGTTATGATTGACCTAGTGTTAAAAATTTCTAGTGCGTGACAAAACAAGATAGCATTTAGTAATTTGATACCAAATATTGAAACACTTATCTCCAATACAAATAAAAACATTCCTTATATGCAAAATTTCCTGCATCCAGTCATAGAAATGTCCCAATGCATACTTGTTACTTAATGGGTACCTTGAACTCATTATCATTATCGCCTTTGCGACGCCAGTATTACTAAACTTAAAACTAAGTTTTTTACTAGCAGTCTTTAATGTTTTAATTCTTATATGAATTTAGATAAACATAGCGTTCAGTGTTTCTGATGCCTGTTACTAGATATGTGTTTAGCATTTGGCGCCTAGCATTAAACTCGATCGTCGGCCGACGCACGCCGCTTAAGTTGAATAATTACTATTATTATTTATTAATCTCGTGCGTCGCGAGTTGCGAGAGTCGGCGCGCACGGCAACCACGCGCTAATTTATGCGACAGATGAAAACGAGAGTACCGCCTTATTATTTAAGTAACTTATTAGTTTCATTAACTTTCATTAAGCTAAGCTAAGCGTGTTTACCATATCGCAAATTGATTTGCTACTCCGAAATAAAAATGAAACGTAAAATAATATTACATTGTCGAGTGTAAATGACTTAAGACACCTAAGTAATGAAGAAAACTTTTACTTTTAGTTTAAGGTACTAATTTAAAGTTTAAGTAAATGCAAATATTTTTTTTAAATTTCCTTATATGACTTAAGTAAACCATATATTTTAAAAGAATTAACAAATAAAAATTTAAAATAAAACTTAAATCACTTTTCTTAATAAGTCATATGACTTAAGTAAGATTTAATTCCGAAAAGGTGCGTTTCGACATGTATTTACAACTTTTGACATATTTTTACTTCTGTTTGGTGCGCTTAGTGAAATGTATGTAACTTTCAGTGATTTATTAGCGCGAGAACATGTTAATGCCGACGACGGCGTCGCCGACCAGCTTGATTAGTATTCACAATTAAAGCAGCGCGAAATAACAACAACAAATCAATATCTAACAGTTATAATACGTTCTCATGAGGTCGATTCTGGGCTTGATTTGAACTGATGGAATGAGTACGTGTTAGAAGTACGCACGGTTCGAAGAAATACGTCTGATTAGTCCACTGGTTCTTTATTTATTACATTTTATTCCACGTCGACAAGGCGTCATGGCGGCACGTCTGCGCGAGATATCGAACATGCAAAAAGCAACAATTGCGCAATAGTTAAAAGCTCTCTTAATGCCAATGATACATACGTGTAATTACAAGTATATTTAAATAAATAAGTATGTCATTTGATATAATTTATAGTTAATTATAACATTTTCGTGTATTTCACTGATTTTCTTGTTTAGGAAGTTGAGTTATTAGCCGATAGACATTAAAAAATGAGCGATTGAAATTGAAATTAAAATTTAAATGTAAATTCAATTTCGTTGGAAAATCTAGGCCACGAACGTTACAGTTAAACTAATTGGAATTTGGAGCTTAAGCACTCAATAATCTGAAATCACTCAATCGTCAGATTGATTGTTGTGCCTCATTGGTAACAATCGCTTAACTAAAAGACTTTGCTTTGGTCGTGATTTTCGTTTTGGTTTGTAAGCGCCTTCATTCATTATTCGACGCGCTTTATCTCTTCATTATGCCTAATCGAGCACGAACTCAATTACTATTAGAGAATTGTGGCCAGCTGGTCGGCAATGTAGATAAGCGATTGAGATAACGCCAAAGAGTTGATAGGAAACAACGGAAAAATAAAGAAATGAAAACTAAAACCAAAGAAGAAAGTACAATTCCATCTTTGACAAGATGTACACGAAAAAAGAAACTTGTTTTAATTGTGATACAGTTAGAATTTCGTTAATTACGCATAATTAAACTCGAATAATTAATCCGAATGTACCACCGTAGTAGAAAAAATTAGTGAGGTTATGCAACCAAATGTATTGAGATGAATGCAGATAATGCATATTTGGTTGCATACATTTTGACTGCGTGAAATTTTGATGAAATCTAAGTCCAATTATACATAACCCAATTTCTGCGTCTGCACGCATTGTTTGAAACAACTCGACCGTCGATTGCGGCAACATTTGTCCAGATTTACGACGAGATTAGTCTCGAAATAAACTATTCCCATGTCAATTCGTTGCAGCCGCTAAACATCAGCACGACTTAGTCTAAGATGAACCGAATGCTCAATGTTTATTACTATTCGTTAAATTCACGATAAACAAATTGATCTCTAATCTGCAATCGTTTGTTTCTTTGTACGCATTTTGATTATCCTGATATTGTTGGTTTCTACTATTGCCATCAACAAGCTCGATCACATTAGAAGATAATTGAGTGAGCGTCAAATAGAAAATTGAAAACTTTGACTGCTGCACACTGATGAAAAATGAAAATCGTTGACAAATGATGTCAAATTCTAGGTTATAGTTGTACGGTTGGCGAGAGGCAAAGCGAAAAGAATTAATCACGATGACTAAAATGACGATGCAGACGTAGTACAGGCTGAAATGATGAAAACGACAACGCAAATGATGAGGTCGTAAGGAAGTGCGAAGGAGAAAGAAACGAAAGGAGTGCTTTCTATTTGGACATGCGTTTGACAGCAGGTCGAAACAATTGATAAGAGCGTCGAAATTAATTACCAGAGGAATTTGCATTTGCATTTATATTTGGTTTTTATAATTATATTTCAGTGTTTGTACATTATTGGAAGTAAAAGTTTCAATCTCCACTTCCGTTATGTTACGTCAAAATACGGATCAACGCATGTCACGCTTATTTATACAAAATTTAATTTGAATTTTAACTTTCCTTCTTTTATTCTTGCAAAATTGGTATTTTTTAATAGTACCTATATTAGGTGGCTAAATATCAAGTAGCAAAATGGGAGTTTTTGTCACAATAGTGATTAAGAGCCAGCGTTTAATCAATCGAGTGTTTAACAACGTTTAGCCACGTGTTGCTTACGCTATTTTTTCTACTTTCATTCTCTTTCCTCTTATCCGTGACTAAAGCTTCTGACTAAAATACATTAGTCACCGCCTTGGCCGTCTGTGTTTAAAATACTACTTTTTGTGTCTTAAAACCGTGGAAAAACTGGCACTTTAAAGGTGGAAGTAGAAAAAATATTTCTTTTGGCCAGGATGTTTAAAATGTTTATCAAAACGAGTATATTAATGAGGTTACATTTGCAATATTGATTAAATCAATTTATTGATTGCGTGATTGTATCCTTGTAATTCACGCGTCTTGTCATTTGTTATTGTTGTTTGTTGTTATTTGACCTTTACAAATTTGACACTTCACTCTTGAAGCGCTATCATGAAGCGCAGTTTGTTGCATGTTTACGTTTGTGTGTTTTGACGATATTGTCAGCTCATGATTGATGCCACTATCGATAAAATTATTAATGATGCTCTTTCGTTGATTTTTCAGCTGTGACCGTCCGTTACCTAACCAAACGCTACATCGGTGAATATAGTTCGACGAGTGGTAAGCACAACTATATTTTTTTATTGATAATTTTTCAGCTTTCTTTCTTTGTTCGGCACTGCACGATACCAAATTTCTTTTATTTTGCAACGTTTATTAATGAAAACTATGCAGAATTTTCAACAGGACCGCATTTATTTATTTTTATAAATGAATTTTAGTGAATTTTAAGATGTGCAATGTGATTAATGCGGCACTGTGTAATTATTCTTGTTTGAAGCCATATATTCCATTCATTAATCACACAATTAATTGTCTTTTTTCGTGGCGAGTCGAAAAGCGCGACGGGCGCGATGTTAATTAATCATCTTCGACGATTTTCCCCAGCGGATTTTTGAGCGCGGATGGATTACGTGCGCGAGAACCTGCCGATACTTTTCATTTCCTTTTTCTTTCTCTCGGAGCCGCGACTCCGTGGCTCGACTCCGGCAGGAAAGAGGGCAACGAGGTGAAGGTCCTCCTCACCTGTGCGAGTCCGAGAGTTTGCATCCTTCCATCCTTCCATAGAGCAGGTGATTTATCGCCTTCTATTTCTACTCGACGCGCGCATAATTAACGTTTATTCAATTATTCAATTATTTTAATCGTTTTACACAACTATGAATATTCAAACACTATGTAAGAAAATGTCTTGAAATCAAATAGAAAAGCTTTATTAATAATAATACGTTGAGCTTTTATATGTGCCGCAGAGTTGTGAACCTGGCTGGTTCAGTAGGTCTGGTTTTATTATCACATTGCCTTATATAAAAGGATTTTTTGTCTTTGAGGGTTTATATGGAGATGCTTTGTTCTTTTACGTTGTGCGAGTGCAAGATCGCATAGAGGCGATTTCAAATTAAGTCCATATTTAGCTCACTTTAATATTGTTTCTTTTGTGTTCGAGTGACGAGACTATTAAAGGACAAAATCTGGGATCATAAAAAACACTCCTTGATGTTAGCGTGAGAATTTAATATTACAAAGAAACTTTTTCTCAACTTTGTGCAATTTTCTTGCTTTAATATATAAATCACCATTAGATACCTACTTAATATTTATTCTTTGAGCTTTTTTTAACATAATCATCATTAAATATTACCTCACAGCACCTTCAGTTTCGATGCATTTTTCGTCCGTTGAAGTGTTGATTAGTGAAGCAATTTTTCATGAATTTTCAATGTCGCCTTGCGCAACTTTTGCTTTCAAAAGAATGCGAGCGATGCAATCGCGTCGTGTGGCGTTAATGCCGAGCAAAGTAAACGAAGCATAAATTCTCAATACCGAGGAAGATTAAACACTTTTTTAAATTAGTAGCCACGGCGTCATACCGCGTGTTAAATAAACACTTAATGCCGCCATACACAGTCACAGCAACTTGAACGTATCAATACAACTTTACTCCTCAGATGTGTTCAACCGTTTGTATCACTTTGTATGAAAATCTGTAGGTACAGGTCCGTATGTTTGTAACAGCGGAACTAATACATGTGTAGGTATTTAAAATCGAATTAATTATTTGTGTCGAAATTGCCACACAACAAGCGCGCGAAGGTGAAGATATCGACGATATTACGCATTATAATCTTCGGCTATTATTTGTGTTGGGCGGAAGAAAGAATGCATCAACATCAACACTTTACATTTTAGATTTAAGAGTTTTCAGGCCGGGTTTTAAGCTGTCTTTGACTTTGTATGCATTTTTCACTTAAGTCCTATTGGTGCATGCATCGTAATTAATCATTTTCTTCTGATTTTTTTAAGTTCAAGGCGTGGATATTTATGCATTGTGCAAGAATCACTTGTTGATGTAATAGGCTTAGAATAATTAAAGCTCAAATTTACATTTGGATCATTTGTGCAAGATTAAACAATGTGATAACTGAAAATTCAGATTTCTAAGCAAATGCATATCTAATAATAACTTTCAAAGTTTTCTTTGTCAGTATGTTTATTAAATTACCGTATATGGTTTGGAAACTTATTCAATCTAAAATCAACAACTCTGCCTTAGGGGCTAACTATTACCTTACTTTATTTCAACTCATTTTGTTCGGTGTGATTTGATTTTGGTTTACGGTATTCGAAAATTCGCATTATAAACATTTTCTCTCTGTTTTGTTGATACATCTATACAGATTGTTGTATTGTTCAATGTTGCTAGGGCTGTGCGGCTTCTTGGGCACATTGTATGTTATAAATAACATGCAATAAGTTATGTCCATCAATTGGAAGTACCCTTAAGTACTTTTACCTATCGCACCGATCGGGCGTTCGCGGATCGAACAAATTCTAATGGCCATCATGGTCGGCGCTCGTTATATAGATTAAAAGTCATATTGCGATTTTGCGCATCGCCATCGTCGGATGGTTTATGCGACGTAGTCTGCAAACGAGCAAACGAGCCGGCGACTTTTGAGCGCTTTTCTGTAGGCTACGAGGCGTTTCTGTGCGGGCTTCAAAATAAGGAAGTAGCCATCAACGAGTCTTCAAATCGGTCAGCGAGTGGCTCCCTTCGGGCTTGATTCGAGATTATTTATACCAATGACTAGCAAACAAGCAAACCGCCCAGAATAAACATAAATTTTATTCAATTTAAATAAAAACAATAAAATGTAAAAGTTTATTAGTTTTAAGTTGTTTTAACACAACAATGATGAAAATAATTAACGTTGTTTAAAATTATACATATAATCCTAATATCACCAATTTAATTATTTCATTACTCATCCAAACGTACAGATAAAATTGTTACGACTCTAATAAACAAGATTTGCGTTTTATTCATATTGGGACGTTTAACACACCTAATCTCAAACTTCAGATGCATTGCCTATAATTCAAGTATACCACAAAGAGCGAAGGTGCAAATCCTCAAAAAAATTAATAGACATTATATAAATTATTTAATAAATTAGGAAGAAACGGCCATTGATCATTCGACAGCTATCTGCTCATGAAGAAAGCGCGGTGCAAATCGAAAACGCAATCATAAGCCGAATGTAATCCTGCGTGTTGTGCGTATGCCGTTGTTGATTATTGCCACAACAAATGCGCAAATTCAAATGAATGAACGATTGTTGAACAGCACATCCACTCGGAGAAATAGAAAAGAAGTCGAAGTCGGCGAGGAGACGTAGAAATGCACAAAGCACTTGTTGTTAAATTACCTATTATGAATATTACCTGATTATGGCGAGTGGAGAAGGAAGAAATATTAACTTGACCGTAAAAAGAATTTAATTACACCTTCAAGTTTAATGAACCTGCTATATATAGATGCCATGCATATTTGAACAATGGTTGTTTATTTTTTCAGATTTTCTATACAGACATAATGTGACATTCGACAATGTGACTACAGAAGTGGAAATATTGGACACGTCAAAATGTGCGGTGAGTGTTATTTTATTATCATTATTATGAAATTAAATGCTCAGTAACATTTGCTAATTTTACTTCTTGTATATTTTGTATACGATATTTAATGCGAAGCTTAAATACTGAAATGGTAACTAAATGATGTTTAAACGTTTGTTTTATCATTTTTACAATGTGATTTTATACTCCTGCAGTTAAGATGCGTGAAAACTATAAAAACAGCTAAATGTACAAAGCGATATCAAATTACTGGTCACCGCATTCTTGAGCTTACTTGGGGATTATCTTAAACTGAAACTTTATGTTAAGTACTAGATTATCTTCATTTGCAATTTGATATCATATTAATATCGTAATATTACAATAGCAACAATTAAAAATTATTAAACGTTATATCATTTTAGTTACATAGTAACAAAATGCATTGCGTAAGACATGTACAAGAACTAAACAACACGACTATCAAATTGACAAATGCGAATCGTAAACAATAAATAATGGCGCTTTAATGAGGCTCGTAAATTTATTAATAGAGCGCAATTAATTCTCAGCAAATGCCTCTTCATAGTATCGCTTTGCGTTTTGAATCTTTTGTAAACAATTTGTTAGCAAGCTGCGAACATTTTGCTACATAAAATATAAATTAGAAAGAAAAAAGAAGATGTCGTACATGTAGTTGCTGAATTTCATGCTTGTACGTGCCGCATGCGTCGTGCACACTACCTACTAATTGAAATTAAAGATTCGAAACGAGATTACTCCCCTAAAGATTGCCGTAACGTGCGCGCCGAGATAGGAGTAGTTGGCGTTGGAATTCGACGCGGTTTGCTGCAAGGACATATAATTAATTGCAAAAACAACCAAATAGCAAAGATTTAAAAAAAATACATTCAAGAAAATACCCTCACGAGTGTGTAATTCTTTTTGACTTACATTTAGTCCTGCGGCATACCGCGCTACAATAACGACAGTTAATAATATCCGCGATGAAATAATAAGCGAATGATAATCGCCGTCTAATAAACGTCCAATAAAAATGCGTACATGATGGCTCGCCGGCCGTGTCGTATCGCATTGTCATATCATCATATCATTCGCGCCAATGCACCAACAGGAATCAACATCTGCATGGAAATGTATAACATGTGTATGAACACCTTTGCAACAACATGAAACACTTTCAATATCAAATGAATTTATACAGTATGTAACGATATGAGTCAATAAATTAATCAAACGTACTAAAAATGATATTCTACAAATTTTAAAGAAATTAAAAAATATTTTCTATGAGCAAATAATTAGATTAATATAAAAATGTACAAGTAATTAAAATCATGTACTGGATTTTCTTAAACAGAATGTATATTAGTTTATACTTGCCATGAAGATTTCTCTGTTGTCTTGTCCGTTTGTCACTATTTAGTTTCATTTGTAAGATGCTCACGCGCGATCTTCGATTGGAGGATGCAAATCGGCGGCCAGGACTACATGCCCAGCACAAACTGCAAACTGCGCATAGCTGATTTTTTCCGTGGAATTTCCTCGCGACTAATAATAGAATGTCCTTGCACCTATCATGCGCTCTTGTGTTGGTGATTATTTGCGTGTCGAGTGCATTATGCTCTTTAGTGTTTCGTTACACTGCGCTTCTCTCTGCTCCATCTGCATTTGCAAGAGTTTAGTTAGCGTTGACTTCCAGTTTAGATATTTTATTTTATTCATTTGCTCTTGTGTGTATCCTCGACGTGGTGTGGCTGAGACAATGCGAAGAGTGCGAGTGCGGGTGAGTTTTCGACGCGATCTTAGATAAGCTGTACACTTGTATATGGAGTACTTACCTATATACCCACATTAAACTGGGGAGTTTAACCGTCGAGTGCAAACAAAAAGAATTAGTCTAGACTAGTCTGCGCTTAATTAGGTTACACAGAAAAACACGACCTGAGTATGTTGGAAACAAAGGAATTTGTAATTTTAAAGTCGAAGTAGAAAATTTGTAAGTGGTTTGTGGTCATACATTGTGGATTTAAAGAATATTTTTAGAAAACTGTTCTGTATTGTTCAGAAATAAATATTTTTAGCCTAAGAATGACATTTTTACAGAAAGTTTTTGTTTAATTGCGAAAACAAAATATTTTACTTGGAAATTTTTAGAAAAACAGATCCAACAATCCATAAGTCCAGCTTGATTAAATGAATATATAATTTTAGTGATTTGCAACTTGCTATTATAAAGTCCAGATTTTTGCAAACTTAATTGGTTGATTGGATGTAAAGAGATAGTTGGTTGATCATGGAAATCCTCAGTTTTCTAAAATCTCATAGTCACGATATGGCGATGTTCCGCTCGAGCTCGTCTCTGTGTTAGCGAAAGAAATCAAAACCGAACCGAAAACTAACGAGCCGAGGTAAAGTCAAGCTGAAGAAGTCAAGTTGCAGTCAAGCAATGAAAGCTTCATTTAAATCTTGTACTATTGCACTATATTGAAATGCATCTGTTAGAAAATTATTATTTACCGTATATTCATAAAAGTAATTTCTAAAAATACCTGAAAATAAAATCAACATTACAAATGTCATTTGTTTATTATTAAATTTATATTTTTAATATTTTTAACAGTTTTTGTCTAATTTAGATCACTCTGTGCATAAAGATGAATTAAAATGTTAATTGCTACCTAGGTCCGTTTGGCATTGGCAAACATTTGAAATGCGCTTGAGATCCGCTGAAAGTTGCAGCATCTTGACGTCTGTGACGTGCATCATCTCGCCTTATCAATTATTTTGTTAAAAATTGGCGAGAAAAAAACTCGACTGCCAGAACGCCAGACAACCGTTAGCTTTCTATATTCTTTCGCGAGTATCCGATGCATCCACCCAATAAGTTTTAATCACGCGCCACATTCTCCATTCAAATTTTCTGCGTCGGCATTCAAGCATTGAAAATGGGCCCTGCACTTCATTAAACATCGAATGGTGCACGCCCGAGTGGAGGAAAACAAAACGCCAGACGGTACCAAGCTGGAGGCAAACAATAATCGCGTCATTGACGTCCGAATACAATTTAACACAACTTAACACAAGTTATGCCAAATTAAAACTTGTATCAACTCGGCGATTGCTTGTAAAGTGAAAAGCTTTCCTAATTAACCAAACCGAGGAACTGAATAAATAACAAATTCAATGGAATAAATCAAACATAGCTTAGCTACGTGAAAACAAACATACAAACAATTAGCTGTTCCGAATGTTATCCATCGTGCGATGATGGCAATAATAATAATATATAGTCAGGTGATTTAATCCTCGTTGCATGTTTGTCTATTTGAACGTGCAGGTTTTACGAGTTCGTTGCGTTTTATATATGCGATCGCACTTGAAATGTAATTCGTGTGCAGTGCTGGTGTGGCACTCCAGCCATCATCGCAGTCACAATGTGGTTGCACGCGGTGAGGGCAGGCCTTGCAGTTATGCACAATATGGCAATATCTTTGACGCTTATTGTGATAGTGATTTATTGCGCATTGGCCAAGTGAGAGTGCTTCATTAGTCTATTAAGACCATTATTTACTTAACATTTCATCGTCATCTTTCATAAATGCCATTCAATACTATTTGAGTTCATCGAATTTATTTACAAATGATTTTATTTTCGATTTAAAGTGTGTAATATGTAATGACGTCAAACAGGGTCCGGGTTTTATTCTGGTCCGTGTTCTGCAATGCAAATTACCTGTTCATTGAAACATATCGAGACAAACGTTGTTTTCACGTGTTTAAACCTGAACGTAAACTTCAATAAATGATCAAAGTTATTCCACAATATAAAGCTAACATAAAAATGGCAACTTGTAATTTTCTCCTTGTTAACTTATCAACAACCTGATCTTTCGATGCTAAAAATCTATACTTAGTTAAATTGATGTATATTTATATCAAAAGTGTAAACAATCCTTTTGTAAAAATGTTATTTTTTGTGATGTTAAAAGAATTGATGTGCATTGATCTTTACTGGTTTCTTGGCTACAAGTTGCTGGTGGTGATGTTGCTCCATGTGGAGATTTTCAAGATTTCGCTCATTTTTACAGCGTAATAATCGAAAGATCTTTATCAATCTCGTCGTCGGCCGGCGTCCACCACGACTCGTCTCGTCTTGCGATCGTGCAAAATGCGCGTTTCGTGTTGGCGTGTTCTTGAACTTGAACTTTTGCATTCCATATGAAATGTAAGTGCATCATGCATCCATAAGCAGCCAGTACCTACAAGCACACCGGCGCGGGTGAAATAATGCCAGAGCACGAGGTGTAGTAATGTGAAATAATGACGAATAAAGACAACGCATTACATGGTCACGTCCACGCCATCGAAGGGAAGAGATTATTGGTCGATGGCTCAGGTTCTACCACTCGTAATGCACCATTACACCTATTTTATTATTTTCAATTCATTGCCTTGATTTTTTTTCACTAGTTTATATCGTTTATTAGTGGTGGATGTAACTAATCTTCGTACAAAGTTCAATCAACGCTATTGATGATAGAATATTGATAACATTGAAGCTTATTATCGAAAGGGACGCTAGTAACGTAAAACTGTACCACGTAAAGTGTCTTAGGTGACGTAGGTAACACCTGGATCCGGCAGGTAGATTATTAGGTACAGGGTTTTTATTGGAAATGAAAAAGAAATAAAATTCTAGCTTCAAAGCGTCGACGGGCGTTGTTAAAATGCTTGTTATCTACGGCCCAACACACCTATAATCTAATCACGTCTCGGTATTAACACCTTTATAATTGGGTGCTTCAAAATATGAAACTAGAGGCATAAAACGGAGTTTAAAAACACATCACCGGGATATTTATATTTAGATTAGTTTCATGAACATTTTTTCAAATAAATTCCGCCTCATTTTAAACACTTTAAATTCTATGCCATGTCATACATTGTCATACTATTTCATTGCGACACATGATATTCCTTTCATTTCGCGCGCACCACGCGCCAATAGTTCA